CAAAATACTGACTTTTTTTTAAGTAACAAGTAAAATTATACATCTGTTTTCTTTTTGGACATGATATTAGCGGTGTTAGACTGATGATGAGTGTTCTTAGAACTTTTAAGTTTTAATTTGTACTCTTTCTGTTTTAAAATATAAGACGTTTTAGTTAAATATCCACTTTTAAAAAGTTTAACCAATCATGAATGAGACTGCATAATATAAATAATAAAAAATTATTAAATTAATTTATAATTTACATAGAATTTTGAAAACGTCTTACATATTAAAACAAAAATAATACCTTAAAACGTCTTATATTTTGAAACCGATGGAGTATTAATTAAGATCACTTTTTTTTTCTTTCTCTTTTCTTTTCGTAAGTAGTGTAAGTTCGTATTATTAAACCTCATAAAGTATGTGTCCTGAAATTATTTATCAAAAAAAAAAGTATGTGTCCTGAAACTACTTAAATTGCTTTATATAGCACTTAGTTTTCTGTAGTTATTTCTATTGTAATTTTTTTTATTATCTTTATTTTTGTTGAAGTTACACGTCAAACTATAATACTCCCTCTGTTCCTAATAGTTTGATGTTTTAGAGTTGTCACACATATTAAGAACTCAATCATTTTTTGATCATTTTAACATTGTTTTTTAATTTTATATATTTTTATTAATTATCAACTAATAGTAGTCTAAGAAAGTTAATAATTTATAATCATTGTATCTTGAAGTTTACAATTTACTATTATAAGTCAATAAAAATAAAATAAAATTGCTAGAAAATCAATATTTGTGGAACAAACAACAAAAGCTAAAACATCAACCTTTTAGGAACGGAGGGAGTATGTAATTAATTGAATATACTATCAACTGTGTCAGAATGATCGGTGTTCACAAAACTTTTTCTATTAAAATTACTGTAGTTGATATTATGTTTTAAAAGTTATGTCGCCAAATTTACATAAATTTTTTTTTGACATAATTTCTTGTTTATATAGTTAAAAATTTTATAATTATTTCGATTTTCTTATGACTTTCATATGTTTACTGTTTTTCTTTTAAATAACTCAAATCACACATTCGATTGTTTGAGCTAAAATGAGGGCTAAAATGATAACAACGTGGACTAAAGCCCAGTATATGAAAACCCGGGCCCAAAGTCAAGAAATAAAATTACAACGACGTCGTACCGACATAGTCTGACAAGTGCATACAGCTGCTTAAAAAGAAAACACAAGCGAGATGAAAGAAATCCATATGAATTTTAATAAGGATAAGAAGAAATAATGGGAACAGCTCTGAAACTTCCGATCATCGATCTTTCTTCGCCGGAGAAGCTCTCTACTTCCCGATTGATTCGTCAGGTTCTTCTTCTTCTTCTTGTACAAATGTCGGCTTCAAATAATAGAGTTTTAGAGTGATATTTTGGTGATTATTTTCAATTTCTTAGGCTTGCTTGGATCATGGATTCTTCTATCTTACGAATCATGGCGTTCCGGAAGAGATGATGGAAGGAGTGTTAATGGAGAGCAAGAAACTATTCTCTCTTCCCCTTGATGAGAAGATGGTGATGGCTCGTCGTGGTTTTCGTGGATACTCACCGTTATACGACGAGAAACACGAATCCTCTGCCAACTCCAAAGGTTCTTAGTTATATATATATTATAGGCCATGAAAATTAATTGCTTGATTTGTCAACGACCAAGATTCATGTTATAACAATTTCTACCATTTTGGTTAGTAGAAAAGGAAAATTGTGTAATCAAATGAAGTGTTTCTTATAAAAGGTGATTCCAAGGAGATGTTCACTTTTGGATCTTCAGAAGGTGTTTTGGGACAACTTTACCCTAATGAGTGGCCTCTTGAAGGTAAAGTTTGTTGCATAATATTTTTTTAAGAATATAATATAGATTCATGAATCATGATATACTTTATTTAATAAATGGTGACAGTGTGGGATTACAATTTACAAAGAAAGTGAGGAATTTGATAATGGAGCTCGTGTTACTTACTCTTGAGACATATTATAAGATATTGTTTTTTAATACGAAATGGGAAACCAACCCGGATTTTCCGGATCGTCGATTCAACATACAGTATCATCATAACTTAATGGGAAACCAGCTAGATCATGAATTTTAACGAGTAAAAAAAGTACGGTTTCTAAGATTTAACCAAAAAAAGTACTAGAGTTTAGGTCGTTAGTTTACATGTCTAAACCGGATGGATTGGTCTGAGTTTTCATGGATAATAACCCACAATAAAACCAATATAGCAAGAAGTAATAAAGTCTTTGTGTTGTACTTGTTTCTATCAAATACTAATTCTTTCTTCAGTTTATGTTGATCATCTATCTTATGGTTCTGGATGTTTGTAGAGCTTTTGCCGCTTTGGAGGCCAACCATGGAATGCTACTATAAAACTGTCATGTAAGTAGAAGGAAACTTGCTCTACATCTGCTTACCTTTGAAACTAGGCTCAAGTTTGAAACCGCGTGGTTAAAACAAATGGCTACGCAAAAAACTGTCATGATGCCATTGTTGTTTCCTTCTCGTATATTGGATCGTTTTTGGTTTGTGCTTAATGCTCTTTGTTGCATCTTAGGGATATTGTCGGTAAGAAATTGCTTGGCCTAGTGGCTTTGGCATTGAATTTGGAGGGAAACTTCTTTGAAAAAGTAGGAGCCTTCAATGATCAAGCAGCAGTTGTTCGTCTCTTACGTTATCCAGGTCTTTAATTCACCAAAAACTTATAGCATTTTGGGGATTGATTAGAGACATTAATATTTAGAAGCTGTTATATAAGAAAAAATCACTGTTAGTTTCTTTACTTTACTCTTAGATTCCCTCTTTGTCACATTATTATAGGAGAGTTGAATTCATCTGGAGAAGAAACATGTGGTGCCTCTGCTCATTCAGATTTTGGAATGATAACTCTTCTTGCAACTGATGGAGTTGCAGGGCTTCAAGTATTCATCTCATAATCGTTTTAAAACTGAGAATTTCTTCTTTTGTATTCTTCTACTTCTTATAACAATTAATGTTTACGTAATAAAAGGTTTGTAGAGATAAAGATAAAGAACCAAAAGTTTGGGAAGATGTCGTTGGAATTAAAGGGTAAGTTATATAAACATATGCTTTTGATTGACACTATTTGCAGTTAAGGCCTAAAACTTATGAGAACTTTGTGTAAATCCACAGGACTTTTGTTGTCAACATCGGCGACCTTATGGAAAGATGGACTAATGGTCTTTTCCGGTACCAAAAAATAAGATCCATACTTTCTAGTTAATTTACAATTTCATTTATAAGGTGATATTTTGATTTAATAGTGCTTCTTGATTTTTAGATCAACAATGCATAGAGTGGTGTCAGTGGGAAAAGAACGTTATTCGGTACGGTACAATTTGTTTGAATTAGTATCTGTTTTACTAATCATCATCATTATCGTGACATAAACTTGTCGGTTTAATTATTTTGAAGGTTGCTGTATTTGTCGATCCAGACCCAAACTGTGTTGTAGAGTGCTTGGAGAGCTGTTGTAGTGAAACATCTCCTCCCAGGTATGTAACAACTCTCATTATTTTTGTTGTCTCATGTTATAAAATTGTAAAATTTTAAGTTTGACTGTTTTCATAATTCATCATGTGTAATTTTGTGTAAGTTAAATGTTTTGGTCTTTTATCGGAAAACCAAAAAGGTTGATTTGTCAATTTGTTGTCTCATGTTATATAAGCTTTTGAGTTTTGAGTCTGACTGTTTTCATCCATCATGCTGGGGGTGATTTTGTGATAACTTGAAAGTTTTGGTATCTTATTGGAAAACCAAAAAGGTTGATTTGCCCTCAGGTTTCCACCGGTCCGGGCCAAAGACTATTTCCACGAGCGATTCAGTCAAACCCTCGCCTCGTACTCCGGTTCCGACTGAGAAGCTAGCTCCAGATTTTCTTAAATAAGACATGTGTCAAATGTTTGAGTGTTCACTTTTGCTTGGACATGACATAATACCAAAAGGTGATAAAACACTGAAAACTTGAAACTGTATCTTGTAAGGTGTATTTTCGATCAATAAATGTATTAATTGTAGACATGATTCCACATTAATTAAAAATAATTTGTTCATGACTTGTCTTGCTTTTCATAAGAATTCTTAGAGTGTGATGAATGAAATGACACTGTCACTGTATAAACATTCTCCAGCTAATACTTCAGCCATTATTGGTATGTTTTGAAACCAAAATTTCCCAACCTAGCAAAGGCAGACCAATTGTGCGTCACTTTACGATAGTAATAAGTCTGCTAAGTTAAGCAAACTGATATTTCATCTTCATGGCTTCATGCGATAAAGGAAGAAAAACAAAATCTTCTTCCTTCGCTACTTCATCTTCTCGTCTTCTTCTCGATCTTTCTTTCCTCTCAATCTCATTGTTAAACTCAATAATTTGTCTTCTTGTTCTTAGTCTTTCTTAAAGTTGATATCAATGTTAATGAAATGTCAATTAATAACTCAGTGTGTAACCTATTTTGATATTATAAAGACTTTGCAGGTCCAAAAAGTTTACAAATATTTGCCAATCTAAAGACTTGCATGTACATAGCACATGAACCGACTCAACCGATTAAGCCTATGAAATAAACATAACACAGAAACATTGAATCATGTAGTAAGTTATTGACACTACAAGAAATATCTACATTGTTAGCATGAGAGAAGAGCTATTAAATGTCATTAATAGCGATTTCATAAACGCTATGTTATGCCCCTGTTATGGTAGACCTCCCATATACAATAGCATTTTTTCCGAATGCTATTATAGGCCGTTCTATTATAGCACTAATCAATTGTTTTAAAATACTTTCTTGTAGCATATATTTAGTGTTGCTTTATATTGTTTTATAACATTTTTAATCGATGTTTTGTTATATTGTGTCGTAACACTTATTTTGCTATTTTGTTATTTCGATTTATATAATTTTTCTATTTTATATTTTACAGAATTTATTAAATTAGATTTATCAATAAATTTATATTCCATAAATCATCAACATAAACAATAACAATATTACATTACCCAAAACAAGTAATACATAATATTATACCAATTCTTATACTAACTTACATTACTAATAACAGAAAATATAGATTTCAAAGCCGACTGTGGTAGAAAAATCGTAGCTTTCCTAGATACATCCAAATGGTTGGCTCATAAACGTTCACGAACTCAAGTACACAGTTGTTCCGAGAGTAGTTCCTTACAAAGCTCTTGATACCCGTAGACTTTGCAAATTCTTAATTTTCATCTTCCTGCAGCCATGAATAAGGTAATAAGCAGTCAAGTTATCTATAAGACATCTCAATATCCAACGAATCAAATATAAGAAATCATTGAATAGAGACAAGTACCCTTCGATTGGGGTTTTTGGTGAACACAATTATCTGAATGCAGAGACAACTATAAGTGCACTCCTCATAACAAATATGAAACATCTAAACTCCATGACCTCAGAAATCTGTTCATAGAAGCCTCACAAAAATACATGAATCACAAACCAACCTCTAGAGTAAAAGCTTTGTGCTTGAGGAGAGATAACTTAAAAGAGGTTGACGTAGAGGAGCATCCAATGAGTATTTCTTCACAGAAGAGCTACAAGCACCAAATTAAGTTTAAAACTCATTACTTTCTTTCAACAAAATCAGAAATCCAATCATGAATTGTAATAAAACTCAGTTACATATAGACTTGTTCAATGAAACTGCTAAAAGTCAAAGACTTTTCTCTAAACTATCAACAAATCAATACCCATTTAGATATGTTTAATCAAACTGCTAAAGTCACAACCTTTCATAAATTAAGGAAAAGAGATAAGAAATCCAACAAAAACTTAAGCAGAAAATTACTTATTTCTAGACTGGGGAAAAACACCCATCCCAAAGATGCAAAAGTAAGATCTAGTTGGAAACATCTTCACTTACGGTAAGAAACAAAACCCCATCAAAGATAAACCAGAACTCTACTCTACTCTTCTATAGGTTAGTGACAAGAATCGTAAGCACCTGAAAGGTTCAAGAGCAACACCACAAAACCAAAATCAACACAAAACAATTAAGAAACAAGCCAGCCAATAATGAGGCAATTCGTCGAACACCTTAAGGGCATGAAAAGGTTCATCAGAACATACACCACTCCACTCCGGTCAAAAGCTTCTAAGAAATAAATCCAACCCAAATCAATCAAAACCTAACAAAATCTAACCCAAAAGCTTTTAAGAAGAAGAAGAATTTGGGGATAAGATCTAAAGCGACAAAGAGTGATAGAAATTGATATAACCCAATAGATCTAGGGGTGTACAATCAAACCAAACCTGACTGATGCAACGAAAACTTATAGCTCAATGGACCATCTGAAGTTAAGAGATAAAACCAAACCTGACTGAGGCAACAAAAACTTATTCTCTTAAAAGATAAACAAGTTGAAAGCTACGAGAAAGAATTCGACGAACCTGACTGAGGCAAAGTAAGAAACGGAGTAGGAGAGAGCCTTGACTGCGTCACTTCTAGAGACTCCTAAGGTTCCATCTCTCTCTTCTTCACAACTTACCAAAAGAATACAAGTTCAAAACAAATGTGATCTCACCATATATATCCAACAAACAGAGGATACTAACCGCACATACTCCATTTCTCTAGCGTCAAAAGATTCATTCACCCTATAACAAAGGCAAAACAACAACAATCCTCATTTCCGATGAAACCAACATATGATTTTTCATGTAAGCTGTGTTTGATTCAAAATCCGGTTAATAGCCATGGCAGTAGCCTTTTTACACATATACCAAAACTAAGACAAAGTAAGCTTACGATTTTTCTCAATATCAAGAGGTAAGAATTCAGAACCTACACCAAGAAGAGATTGATTAATTAATCTGCATAACTGAGAAAAACAAATAGACAAAGACATTTTCTTAGTTCACAAATCTTACCATGAAAGAGTAGTTTGTGGCCAGAGAAGAAGCAAGAGAAGAAAAAGAAAAAGAAACCACCATACTTCTTCTCTCCAGGAACATTATTCCCAAACACTGCAAAATTCAGCCCAATTCAATATTTGTACATGTCTGAGAAGCTTTAAGAAGATACAAAAAATAATTCTACTTCAGTACTACAACACCATGACGATAATTCAAGATACAGATTTGGAAGAATATTTCACACGAATTCATGAAATTCTGAGAATCAAAACCGCAAAACAACAGATTCAAGAAAGGAAATAACAGAAACTCTATACCTGAGAAGCGAAGACCTCTAGCTCACCATGAAACAAACCTCGTGACGATTCAGAAACAAACTTGGTGGCCTCTCGATCTCGATCTAGATCCGTGTCCCGATTGGTGTTATCTGTATCGGAGGAATCGACCATGTGAACCAAGCTGGAGGATGAAGGATAAGGATGGAATGGACATGAAATGAGGTCGGCGAAGAGCTTTACGGTGGTGGAGTCGGAGTTGAAGAGACAGAGGTTTTCGATTTGGGGTTTTTTTTTTTTTATGTTTTATCATTGAGAGAAAATAAGTTTATTATTTGCTTTGGCTATACACCATGACACTTAAAAGTTTTAGATCTGAAATTATTTTTGGCGCTTAAGTGAAATTTTCACCAAAATATTAGCGGAATAAGTGATTTTAGCTTCTGATTTGGTGATGTTCTTACTTAGCGTGATTTTAGTGCTATTATATCGTAATCAAAAATAAAAGTTATCTATCATAGCAGTTACGAAAAATGAGCTATCCTCTTATGCTATCAATGTAGATATTTCTTGTAGTGTGAGATTCCTTTCTGATAGAGAGGCGGAAGCTATGTAACAAGCACGAAATCGAAGTCTCCTGGAGAAGACGATATCGAACTTGGATCTTACTAGAAACGCTTAACGTTTAAGTAATAGGGGTGAGAATCCTCTTCTCAGGGCTAAAAGCTCTTTAATAACTGAATTCAATAAAACCAAGATGATCTACAACGTGAGTCGAGATCGACTACTTATAACAAATAAGAGATAAAGCCAACGAGATAAAGAGAATCAAGAGAAGTAGTCTAGAAAGGATTTGAGTATATCCTTGACAAAACAGAATGAGAAAACAAATAGAAGAAGAATGGGCCGAGAGTGGTCAGCCCACGAAGGAGTCTGTCACGAGGCCCGATTGTTGCAGAGGATGCGCTGCATCAGGTCCCTCCGGGTGAGAGGGGGTTCGACCACGAACCCAGAGTGTCGTTGTCGCCGCGAAACGGAGACAAATACTTCACATTAAAAACGTCCGATGTTCGCAGATGAGGAGGAAGCTTGACACGATACGCGTTGGCGTTAATCCGTTCCACCACTTCAAGTGGACCAATTTTTCGTGACTTAAGCTTATTGTATTCACAGAGAGGAAAGCGGTCCTTCGTTAAGACAACCCACACCAAGTCGCCAGGATTAAAAATCAGCTCCCGACGTTTCGAATCAGCCGCTTCTTTGTACTTGGTCGCCGCAGCCTCCAGATTGGCTTGAGCTTCCGTATGAACTTGCTGAAGTTCCTCCACGAAGTCCAAAGCTTGCCCATGTAGGCGAGTTTGATCGGGGAGTGTTGTAAGGTCCAATGGGCAGCGCGGAATAAACCCATAGACAACCCGAAATGGAGAAAACCCAACACTACGGTTAAATGCATGGTTATGAGCAAACTCCGCTTGACAAAGCTTGGCATCCCAACTCTTGATGTTATCCCCTACTAAACAGCGCAGCAAATCTCCGAGAGCACGATTAGTGACTTCGGTTTGGCCGTCGGTTTGTGGATGATAAGCGGAACTCATATCCAAGCTTGTTCTTAAGAGCTTCCACAAAGATCGCCAAAAATGGCTTAGGAATCGTGTGTCCCTATCCGAGACAATGGATGTAGGTAATCCATGCAAGCGATAAATTTCCTTGAAAAATAGTGAAGCCACCGTGATAGCATCTGTGGTCTTCTTACAAGGAATGAAATGAGCCATTTTCGAAAAACGATCCACCACGACGAAAATCGAATCATTCCCACGTTGAGTGCGAGGCAGCCCTAAAATGAAATCCATACTCACATCGGTCCATGGTTGTGTCGGGATTGGTAATGGAAGATAAAGACCGGCGTTGGATGCTTTTCCTTTAGCCATTTGACAAACTCTACAACGTTCCACAAAACGTTCAACATCGCGTCTTAAGGTTGGCCAGAAGTAAGATGTTGATACTAACTGTAATGTCTGGTCTCGACCAACGTGTCCTTCGTTATGGAGCTCACTGATTATTTGAAGGCGCCAGCTGCCTTCAGGGACACAAATCCGTAAACCCTTGAAAAGGAACCCATCTTGAAGTGAAAAATCGTCCGTGAGGTTGTTTTCCGCGTCTTGGAGGATTCGTGAGAAAAAAGGGTTAGTCTTGTAGAGATCCGCAAACGTTGCAAAGCCCTTAACGGATGCGTGTATGGTCGTCAAAAGCGTGTGTCGACGACTTAATGCATCAGCTACTCGATTTGTTTTGCCGGATTGGTGTTTTATGGAGAAAGTGAATTGTTGTAGGAAGGCGATCCAGGAGGCATGTCTTGATGAAACCTTCGCTTGACTATCAAGATGACGCAGTGCATCATGATCCGTGAAAAGAACGAAGTCGCGGTGAACCAAATAATGTCTCCAATGCTTGATTGCTTGAACAATTGCATAAAACTCCACGTCGTAAGTGCTATAGCGGCCACGTGCTCCCGATAATTTTTCGCTGTAATATGCGACCGGCCTGCTTGACTAAGCACCGCGCCAATTCCTAGCTTAGAGGCATCACAATGTAGCTCAAAGGTCAAGGAAAAATCGGGAAGGACCAAAATGGGGGCTGTCGTGAGCTTGTGTTTGATGAGTGTAAACGCCTCATCAGCCTCCGGTGTCCATGAGAACTTCCCATCACGTATGCAGTCCGTGATAGGGGCGACAATGCTGCTGAAATGGTGGACGAAACGGCGATAAAAGGAAGCGAGACCGTGAAAACTGCGTACTTCCGTCACTGTGCGTGGTACTGGCCAAGAACGAACAGCTTCAATCTTGGATTCATCTACGGATAACCCTTTGTCAGAAATAATGTAACCCAAAAAGAGAACTTGCTTGACTCCAAATTCACACTTGTGACGGGCTGCGAATAATTTTTCATTTCGGAGAACAGTTAAAACGGATCGGAGGTGAGTCTCGTTTCGTCGCCGGAAGAGCTGAAGATGAGTATGTCGTCAAAGTACACGACGACGAATTTTCCAATAAACGGTCGGAGGGCTTGATTCATCACACGCATGAACGTACTCGGAGCATTGGAGAGTCCAAACGGCATTACCAACCATTCAAACAGTCCCTCACGGGTCTTGAAAGCGGTCTTCCATTCATCCCCAGGACTAATCCGTATTTGATGGTAGCCACTCTTTAAGTCGATCTTAGTGAAGATAGATGCCTTCCCAATCTGGTCTAATAGATCGTCTAACCGAGGAATAGGAAAGCGGTAATGGACTGTGATTTTGTTGATGGCACGGCTATCAACGCACATACGCCATGTTCCGTCTTTTTTTGGAATGAGAAGAGCGGGCACGGCGCACGGGCTGAGGCTTTCACGTACATGGCCCTTGCTAAGAAGTTCTTCTACTTGTCGGTGGAGCTCATCATGTTCTTGTGGACTCATGCGGTAGTGAGGTCGATTTGGTAGTGTAGCACCGGGAACGAGGTCAATGTGGTGTTGAATGTCACGGAGAGGAGGCAATTCTTGTGGTAGTTCATGAGGGAACACGTCTGTGAATTCCGTGAGGACACCATCAAACAAACTAGGGGTTTGCGGGGTGGCTGGTTTTGGTGACGAAGTGAGGACGGCTAAGGCGAAGCCTTCTTGTTGTAATTCCTTTTCAAAAGTAGAAAAAGAACAGAGAATGGTGCCACCATGATGACCCGTAGCTGTCAGTGTTTTTGGAGGTGGTGGTGATTTTTCGGGCGGCGGTGTTGCGTGAGGCACTAAGGGAGTGTCCGGTGATGGTAGCAGCAGGATTTTGTGAGTTTCCCAAAGGAAGTCATAGGTGTTGGCGGCTCCATCGTGAATGATTTTGCGATCATATTCCCATGGCCTCCCCAAAATTAAGTGGCTCACGTTCATTTGTGCGATGTCAAAATACATCCTGTCTTTGTAGAATGGGCCAATAGAGAAAGGAACAAGGGTCCGATGAGACACACGAAATGAAACGCCTTCTTGCAGCCATGTGATTGAGTAGGCTGTGGGGTGCGCTTCAAAAGGCAGGCCTAGCTTGCGGGCTGCTTCCTCCGCAATAATATTACGACAGCTTCCCGAATCGATGACAAAGGTACAAACGCGGCCTTTGACGGTACAAGTCGAACGAAAAATATTGGTGCGTAGCCAGTGTTCTTCTCGTTGTTGTGGAGTCAAACACAAGAAACGTGACACTAGCACACGACCTGTATCTCCTGGAGTAGCAAGTGTCGTGATAGGCTCTTCTGTTCCTTCATCTTCTAGTGAATCATAGTCAGGATCTTCGTCTATCACCTTACCATCTTCAATAAGGAGCCCACGTCGGGCTTGGTTGGGGCAGGCGGTTTGTCGATGACCTGGTTCTCCGCAGGAATAACACCTTAGAGCATTAGGACGAGTGGAACGGCGCAAAGCAGGCTCTTCTTCTTTGGTGGTGTGAGTTGTACTCGTATTTCCTTGCTCTGTTGTATCGCGCGATGTCACACTCGTGGTGGTGGGTTTCTGGTCTGTGTTGCGGGATCGAGAGAAGGAGGAGTTTGAGGCTGTGCGAAATTGTTGCTCGAAAGATGAGGCACGCCTATGAGCTTCTGCGACTGTGGATGGGTCAAATTGGGCCAGGGCGTTCTGAATTTGAGATCTCAATCCACCAATAAATCGTGAAACCATTTGAACTTCGCTGTCATAAATGTCATTGCGGGTGGCCAAGAGGTAAAATTCCTCCGCATACTCCTCAACGGAACGTGCTCCTTGACGCAAATTCTGTAGACGATTATACACAGTACGGTCGTAATTGTGTGGAAGGAAGGTGTCCCGTAACTTTTTCTTGAGCTTATCCCATGAACGGATTGGTTCTTTCCCGGCGCGAGCTCGTGATGACTTGAGTTGTTGCCACCAAGACGCTGCGTGTCCCCGAAAACATGTTGCAACGAGTGAAACCCTCCGATTATTTGGTACACCTTTAAACTCCAACACTTCTTCAACAGCTACCAACCAATCCAGAAGTGAATCGCCACGGATCCCTCCGACGAATTCTGGTATGTCCACTTTAAAACCAGTCTCCCAACGTGTGTCATGTTGTCGCTGCTCCTGTTGTCTGAAACGTGCGAGCTCGTGTTGCTGTGGGTATTCAAGTGCTAAGGGAAGTTGTTGCTGTTACGGATTGTGTTGCTGGCCACCGTCAACGATGACCTGCTGGTTGTTTTGGTTTGCTGGTGTGTTGATGATGGCTGCTGGTGGCGGCGCTTGATTACCTCCCCCAAGATGTCGGATCAACACTTGACTCAGCTCTTGAATGGAAGTTTGCAGCGCTGCTTGTGATGCTTGCATAGCGGCTTGAGATGAGAGTAGAGTTTCATGAAACTCTTTCCAATCGATGTTGTTGTCTGGGATCTTCTCTCCTTCGTGCTTAGGAGGAGGCATGATTGATACAGAATTCAAATCCAGGAAAGACAAGAATCTGATACCAACTGATAGAGAGGCGGAAGCTATGTAACAAGCACGAAATTGAAGTCTCCTGGAGAAGACGATATCGAACTTGGATCTTACTAGAAACGCTTAACGTTTAAGTAATAGGGGTGAGAATCCTCTTCTCAGGGCTAAAAGCTCTTTAATAACTGAATTCAATAAAACCAAGATGATCTACAACGTGAGTCGAGATCGACTACTTATAACAAATAAGAGATAAAGCCAACGAGATAAAGAGAATCAAGAGAAGTAGTCTAGAAAGGATTTGAGTATATCCTTGACAAAACAGAATGAGAAAACAAATAGAAGAAGAATGGGCCGAGAGTGGTCAGCCCACGAAGGAGTCTGTCACGAGGCCCGATTGTTGCAGAGGATGCGCTGCATCACTTTCCCACAGAAGTCAGAACCGTTGTGAATTTGCGAATTCTTGACAAGGCAAATTTCATCGCCAGTTATAATAGGAATGTTTGAGCAAATTGTTACAATGTTATACGGATTAATTTAGAACAAAGGCAAAAAAGATTTGAAACAAAGCAAAGCCCATTTATAAATTCACTCCATTGTTTGTTAAATATATACTATATTTATTTATTTTTGGTAGATTAAATAAAAGATTGTTTAACACGCCAAAAATTGACTTATTATTTATTGACTTAACCCTCACGAACCAACAATAAAACTAAATCACGTAAACCCTAAATCTTCTCCCAATCGTCAGAAATGTGCAAGACACAGATTCTTCAACAACACGCGAGACGTATTCTCGCTCACAGTAACAGGAGTTGTTTGTTTCGCTCATACGGAACCGTATCGGCTGCGGATCAAAATTTGCCTAGTCGGATCGTGACAAATTCAAATCAAAATGCACACATCACTCCAATGTTAGCGTCATGGCAGAAACAAGGGCATCAAGTGAAGCCGTCTGACCTCAGAGGCTTCATCAAGAATCTCCGTGGCTCCAATCAATTTTCTAAAGCTCTTGAGGTTTTTCCAATATCCATTATAGACTACTTTTGTTAATTTTGGTATAAAAATGTGACATATATTCTTAAGAGTCTCGTGTAGTAAGGAGATTTGATATTTTGTAATGTATTATTATTAGGCATCGGAGTGGATGGGTGAACAAAAGGTTTTTGATATTGTTCCAGAAGATTATTCAGCTCGGCTTCATCTTGTTGAGAATGTTCTTGGCTTGGAAGAAGCCGAGAAGTTCTTCAAAAGCATTCCTAAGAACATGACGGATTATTTTGTCTACGCCACTCTTTTGAGCTCTTACACGAAATCTGAGAATACATTAGATAAAGCTGAGGCCACGTTTGAGAAGATGAGAGAGCTTGGATTCCTCTTGAAACCTTCACCCTTCAACTCGATGATTTCTCTCTACGGTCAGCTCCAAAAACTAGATATGGTCGAGAAGCTTGTACGTGAGATGCAAGAAACCAAGGTGGAGTGTGACAGTCCCACGGTGAACAATGTTTTGAGGGTATACGCGGACACATGCAAGATAAAAGCGATGGAGACGTTTAAAACGTGGGTTGATGAGCAAGGAATCAAACTAGAGGGAGGTACCATCGTTGCAATGGCAAAGGCTTACCTTAGATCTGGTTCGATAGAAAAGGCGATAGAGATGTATGGTAACGTGGCAGGGAGTGAAAAAGAAGTGTACCGTCTTTGGGATGAGTACAAGAAAGAAACAAAGGTGAATGATAATGGATATCGAACAGTTCTTAGCTCTTTGTTAAAGCTGGACAATGTACAAGGAGCAGAGAAGATATATGAAGAGTGGAAACCGGAAGGACCGAAGCTGGATATGAGCATACCGAGTTTACTGCTTTCCCGGTATTACGCTGAAGGCATGGAAATAAATATTGACCAAATGGTAAAGTCTATTAGAAAGAAGAGATATGAGATGCATTTAAAGAAGATAAAAGAACGTTTGATCTTTATAAGGAGGGTGATTGTTGTCATGGGATTGAAGTTGAAGGTTGAGCAAATGGTAAAGTCGATTAGACAAAAGAAGTTGAAAGAACCCTTGATCTTACTGGAGGCGAGGGAAGCGAAGGTTAAGGAGATGGTAACGTTCATTAAGAAGAAGAGGTTTGGGATGCGTTTACACAAGTTAAAAGAATCTTTAATCAAACTTGGGCAGATTGGTATGTTGGTGGGGTTGATTGTTGCAATTTTGGCCGTCATTGTTGGTGCTCTAGTAATCAATGTAGCTTGGAATGAGTGGCTCATTCAACAACATCCCCCAACATCATATTGGAAGGTGCGGATCTTAAAGGACAATCCTATGTTATATTATTTTTTGTTCGTTCGTAAATAGGTTTGTGTTTTCACTTTTCACCAAACTTTTTCTTGTACATTTTAGTTTTTCTTTAGGGTTTAGGATAATGGTTTATGATCCTACAAAGTTTTAGTTTATCTAATTTTCTTTTATGTAGCAAAAGAGAATACAAATACAAAGATATATGCGAGTTAGTATTTTCTGTTGTTATTAGTAAGGCTTAAAGAAAACTCACTTTGTTTCATTTTAATTGATGTTTAATGTTTTGACTTTGACACACCAATTAAGAAACTATATATTAAAATAACATTTTTTCTTGTCTTTTTTATATTAATTAAAATATTATTTACTTACTAAAAAAAATTATTCAACCAATAATATTAAATGCATAGAATAATGAGAACATCACTCGGAAAAAGGAAGGACTAGTTATTAATTTGCTATCAAATTTAGGTGAATTGACATCTCTTATCTCTTACATAAAGTCATAAACCCTCCAATATTATGATGATATATGAATGATATTCAGCCTATGGCCAATGTGGGCTTAATCTGTGATATGAGATTCAATAGCCCATTAGAGCCCACTTCAACATTAGCAAATTTTTTTACATTTCGTAATTTACCATTTCATAATTGCAAGCACCGTCGTATGGTCCCTATGAGTCAAAACGATCAGAGCAAATTCAGTTTCGAAACAGAGAGACTATTAGGAGAAATGGGAACGTCGCTTCTACTTCCGATCATCGACCTTTCTTCGCCGGGAAAAATCTCCACCGCTCAATTGATTCGTCAGGTTCTTCTTCACCTCTCTGTTACTTTTTTGTATTCTGATTCTCTACTAGTAAGTGATGATAGGACTCGTACCTGTACCATCAATTGACGAAGATTGTTTTATCTTTTTGTTGAGTATATGAATTTTGGTCTGCGTTATTGATTTGAAGGAGGTCTTTGTGTATACTAATTTAGTTTGAGACATACATGTCTCTATGATTGCTGATGAAATGTTTGTTTTGTTATTTTTATAAGGCATGTCTTGAACATGGATTCTTCTATGTCAAGAATCATGGAATCTCTGAAGAATTAGTGGAAAGGGTTTTCAAGGAGAGCAAAGGCTTCTTTAATCTCCCACTAGAGGAAAAGATGGCTTTACTCCGCCGTGATTTGCTCGGTTATACTCCATTGTATGCTGAGAAACTTGACCCGTCCTTGAGCTCAATAGGTTAGCATTTTTGCACATGTGGCTTGTTTTCTTGCTGAGTTAGTGTAAAAAGTTGATCTTTCCTTGTTAGGTGATTCCAAGGAAAGTTTCTATTTTGGTTCTTTGAAAGGTGTTCTCGCTCAACGTTACCCAAATCAATGGCCTTCGGAAGGTAATTTCTTTCTACCTGTTTCGGTAATCGGTTTTGATCTCAAACTTTTTGTCTCTATCTCTCAAGGGTTATGTGTATGTTAAAGGTATCTTGCCATCATGGAGGCAAACCATGGAATGCTACTACAAGAATGTCCTGTAAGCACCTGCTCTTTTCTTTCTTCTGCAAAGTGAATCTCAGAATAAAACTTCATACCTGTCTTCTCTATATATCCTCAGTTGAAAATAGGTTTCAAGTTCATTATAACTGTTAGATTTGAACCTTGATGGTAGGGATAAATATAGTCTATTGTAGCCAATTACATCGGTAGTACAAATGAACAATCTTAGGTGCCTGTGCGTTATTGAAATAAATTCTTTTCAGGTTACAAATAATAGGAAGAGTACGCTGTTTCATGAGGGTTTTCTATTTTTTTATATCTCATTACTTTCCTGGATTAACTTGCTAGTTGTGTGTTTGCATTGCTGCTTTAAGGTCCGTGGGTAGAAAATTGCTCGGCTTGATTGCCTTGGCATTGGATTTAGAAGAGGACTTCTTCGAAAAAGTTGGGGCCTTGAATGATCCTACAGCAGTTGTTCGCCTCTTACGCTATCCAGGTGTCTCTATGTACATCAAATTCTGGTTGGATTGATATTAACCTTAATGAACTCTCGTCATAGTTAGATCTTAACATATGAAAGGAATATTTATCTTTACATATGTGAATCAGTGGAAAATTAAGCCACATTCCAGGAGTTCGAGTCAGGTTTTGATCTCTGCACCTGTTATGGTTATAGGTGAAGTGATTTCTTCAGATGTTGAAACATATGGTGCCTCAGCTCACTCAGATTATGGAATGGTCACTCTTCTTTTGACTGATGGAGTTCCAGGACTTCAGGTAAATATCTCTGGATTTCTCTTGTAGTTCTTGTCATACTCTTCCTTTAGTTATGTTCTTACACCGTCTGTGAACTGAACTCTTAGGTTTGTAGAGACAAATCGAAACAACCACACACTTGGGAAGATGTCCCTGCAATTAAAGGGTAAGTCTAGCTTTTTTTGGTTACAAGATTATGATTAGAAATAATTGTTGAAATCCGGGGACTTGTAACCGTAGGGAGTTTATCGTCAACATTGGTGATATGATGGAGAGATGGACCAATGGATTGTTCCGGTAAACTTAAATCAATTTACTTAGGCGAGAATGTGTTTTCTGCGTTTCTTCACATTTGGTATTTTCTTGTAATGGGTTTAGGTCTACATTGCACAGAGTGATGCCGGTAGGAAAAGAACGTTACTCGGTAGCTTTGTCTTGTTTCTTTCTTTCTAATTTCTATACAAACTGATAAAGTTTTGGTAATTAATTAAAGGAGAAGTTTTTGTAGGTGGTGTTCTTCTTAGATCCCAATCCAGATTGTAATGTGAAATGCTTGGAGAGTTGTTGCAGCGAAACTTGTCCCCCAAGGTATGTCTTCTTGAATCTTAAATCCAATTTTAGGGTGTGAGGAGGGGCATATTACACGTTTTTAAAATCTTTTGGTCTTGAAGTGTAATAGAATAAAAATTGAGTCCTTTTCTCATAAAGATTTATTTCCATCGGTGCAGATTCCCGCCTATCCTCGCCGGCGACTATATAAAGGAGCGTTTCAGGCTAACATACGCCACTTCGTAGATGTTTTTGTTACGAAATGTAAGAAACAATAGTGTTCAAAGTTCAAACTTCAACCTACTATAATGTTTAATTAGTGAATATCAAGGAACTTATGGAACTTTGAAAATGATTAGTCAAAAACTCTCAAAGATAGACACGCTTAAAACCCGTGGAACTTGAATGGGAGATTACGTGTTTGGACCAAACTTGTACACGTGGCAAGTTTTTTTGTGGTGTATAGCGAGATTAATGTTTTAATTCAAAAAGACAACATTGTACGAGTTATAAATATAATACTATAGTTTTTTTTTTTTTTTTTTTTTTTTGAGTATAATACTATAGTGTATACAAGTCTAATTACTTAACTATACTTTGATGGAAATACAGTTGACAAGCTAATGCGTTTGACGGAGACAAAAAAACAAAATGCTTAATATCTATGGAAAATTCATTTTGTGTAAACATTTTAAGTTTTTTTTTTTTCTATTGGAAATATGCATAACGCAACTATACATGCAAGTTTGCAACAATATACTATTTTAAACATTAGAAAACAAAACATTATCTTATCTTCAATCTAATTGTTTTATCTTCTTTTTATAAACATGTCCTTTAGATGCATGCATTCATTTTTTTTTTCATACAGCCGAATTAAAATTTTTATTACACGTCTGATTTTACGGTATTTTTTATTTTATTTTAGTACAGAAATTACAAATACAACATACTTTTATTAGTCAAATATCTTTTCTTACCACATATAAAATTTCTATACATTGATATTCCTTTTTTGTTAGTCAAATAAATGTGTATATTTATTCCATATGAGGGAAAAAAATGATATTATTACATACTTGCAAGGTTTTTTTGCCAATAGTTTAATTTTTTAGTCATCAATCGTTGAATAATAATTACGTATATTTGGAATATAATCCAATATTAAACATTTATCCATTTTCCACGTGGGTTTTATCAGTGTCGGAGCTGGATCTGAGAAAGAGATAAACCCAAAATATTTCAATTATAGAAAGAAAAAAAAGAGAGTCTATTTTAAATCAATTTGTATTTCTCTTCTTTTATCTCCGAAATAAAAGCTTAATTTTTCTCCCAACTACTCTGCAATTAAATCGGTAGAGTGAGACATTGGCCATCGTTTCCTCGCTCTGTTTTCTGGGCTTGTTTTTTTCCTTCTTCTTAGAGATAGAAAAAATCATCTCTGAGAGTTTTCTCGGGAAAGTTTTTTAGTGTTTAGCTACTGGATTTTGAATTTACGAATCAATGGAAGGAGTTGATCACCTTGCCGATGAGAGAAACAAAGCGGAGTTCGACGTCGAGGAGATGAAGATCGTCTGGGCTGGTTCCCGCCACGCTTTTGAGGTTTCCGATCGAATTGCCCGCCTCGTTGCCAGCGATCCGGTGAGTTTCTTCTTAATTCTCGTTGATTTTTGTTCTGATTTTCGTTTGGATTACGGGAAATGTTTATGCGGCGAGGGAATAGGATTAGGTCTGTGTTAGATTTGTGAATTTCGTTATCTTCTTTGTATAGGTATTTGAGAAAAGCAATAGAGCTCGGTTGAGTAGGAAGGAGCTGTTTAAGAGCACGTTGCGAAAATGTGCTCATGCGTTTAAGAGGATTATCGAGCTTCGTCTCAATGGTATGGATTGTTCTCACGCACCTTGGTTTCAAGTTTTTTCGTATTACGTCTTATTATTGTGCTCTTCCATTTGTTGTTGGTTACAGAGGAAGAAGCAGGAAGATTGAGGCACTTTATCGATCAGCCTGCTTATGTGGATCTGCATTGGGTACTTCCTGCGTCTCATTTATCGATAGATAGACTCTTCTAGAGACAGAATTTTGATTCTTTTATTCATGTTTTTTTTTTGTGTCTCTTTGCTCTAGGGAATGTTTGTGCCTGCTATTAAGGGGCAGGGCACAGAGGAGCAGCAGAAGAAGTGGTTGTCGCTGGCGAGTAAGATGCAGATTATTGGGTGTTATGCACAGACTGAGCTTGGTCATGGCTCAAATGTTCAAGGACTGGAGACAACCGCCACATTTGATCCCAAGACTGATGAGTTTGTAATTCATACTCCAACTCAGACTGCATCCAAAGTGAGTAGACCGAAAAGGCTTTGATTGAGTATTATTATGCACAGTCTCCCTTAGTTGTGTAAAGATTTTCATCTGTCTTGATTGTTGAATAGTGGTGGCCTGGTGGTTTGGGAAAAGTTTCTACCCATGCTGTTGTTTACGCTCGTCTCATAACTAACGGAAAGGACTATGGTATCCATGGTATGTACCGGGAAAAGTTTCCAGTATTTTTTTTGTTCAATTTTTCTTGCTTGGGTATTGGTTTCTTAAACTTTCTCTTCCAGGTTTCATTGTGCAACTGCGCAGCTTAGAAGACCATTCTCCTCTTCCGAATATAACTGTTGGTGATATCGGGACGAAGATGGGAAATGGAGCATATAATTCAATGGACAACGGGTTTCTTATGTTTGATCATGTTCGTATTCCTAGAGATCAAATGCTCATGAGGTCCTCTCTCTTTGCCTTTCTGGTCTGAATTTAATAAACATTCACGATGTAATTCTAGAGGAAATTGCTTGTGCTTAAATGCGGGCTTATGGTTCCATATTTCTCCTCTTTCAAAACGTTTCAGGCTGTCAAAAGTTACAAGGGAAGGAAAATATGTTCCATCGGATGTTCCAAAGCAGCTGGTATATGGTACTATGGTGTATGTGAGACAAGCAATTGTAGCAGATGCTTCAATTGCACTATCTCGAGCAGTTTGCATAGCTACAAGGTACAGCGCAGTGCGGAGGCAGTTTGGCGCACATAATGGTGGCATTGAGACACAGGTACTTATTCAAACCCATTTCATGTGCATGGTTGTTTACACCTATTGATGTTGGATCATAACAAATTTCAAAGTATATTTTACCTTGAAAACTCTGCTTGTATATTTTGCGGTTTTAGCCAAATTTGTCTGTAAGTTCCTGCTGAACTGTTTTTCTTCGACATGGCTTTTTATAGTTTTTTTTTAACTCTCATTAACGTTGGCTAGAAAAGGGAATGTAATATATTTCTGCATGTTGTTGTAACAGGTGATTGATTATAAAACTCAGCAGAACCGGCTATTTCCTCTGCTAGCATCTGCATATGCATTTCGATTTGTTGGAGAGTGGCTAAAATGGCTGTACACGGATGTAACTGAAAGACTTGCGGCTAGTGATTTCGCAACTTTGCCTGAGGCTCATGCATGCACTGCAGGGTTGAAGTCTCTCACCACCACAGCCACTGCGGTAAGTTCCAGACCTGATTCTTTATACTCACTAGACTAGACTGATTGGTTTCGTCTCTCTGAGGGTCCAACCGCTCACATGTTGGAAAGTTTGTTCCCTCGTTGACATTGTTTTGGAGGTGTATTTAGAATTGAAAGTCAGCTTAAGGGTACTATTGGGTGCAGGATGCCATTGAAGAATGTCGTAAGTTATGTGGTGGACACGGCTACTTGTGGTGCAGTGGGCTCCCCGAGCTGTTTGCTGTATATGTTCCTGCCTGCACATACGAAGGAGACAATGTTGTGCTGCAATTACAGGTATTTATCATCAACTGCAAGCTATTCTCACTTACTAGAATAATTCTGTCAGCTCAAATAGATTTCTTAGCATGTGGCTCGTTATCTTATGTCTCTCTGGACTTTTGGCTGTGAGTTCTTGATTTAATATTGTTTCGTATTTTGAATTTTTACTTTCTTAGATATGGTTATTTGCAGGTTTTTGTCAATTTTTCCTGTTTCATATGTTTTGGCTTTTGTCACGTGCAATTTGATTTTTTTTTTTCTGATTGATATGTAAACACACATTTGACTGCTTTTATAGTTTTGGTTCATTGTTGTTTCGCCAGTGTTTTTAACAATAACAATAAGAATAACCATTCACGCTATTGTTCAAACTTGTGTTGATAGGTTGCTCGATTCCTCATGAAGACAGTCGCCCAGCTGGGATCTGGAAAGGTACCTGTTGGCACAACTGCTTATATGGGCCGGGCAGCACATCTTTTGCAATGTCGCTCTGGTGTTCAAAAGGGTGAGTTTTCAATTTATATATATTTTTCTTCTTCCTGCTACATTAACAAACTAATGATCTTTTCTCAATATAATTCCTGAGTTAATGATGAAGTTGGTTTTATTTATGTAGCTGAGGATTGGTTAAACCCTGATGCGGTACTGGAAGCTTTTGAAGCAAGGGCTCTGAGAATGGCTGTTACTTGTGCCAAAAATCTCAGCAAGTTTGAGAATCAGGAACAAGGTACGCTTCTAACTCCATGAATCCAGAACAATTGATTGCCATGTCAGCTCATAAGCCAAACGACACACAAATTCTTCCTGTCTGCAGGATTTCAAGAGCTCTTGGCTGATTTGGTTGAGGCCGCTATTGCTCATTGCCAATTGATTGTTGTTTCCAAGTAATCTTCTTCTTCACCATTTACACTTATCAAACAAGTTAATGATTCTCGCAATGTCAGCTCCTAAATTTTGCCAACTTTGTCTCGGTTAGGTTCATAGCGAAACTAGAGCAAGACATAGGAGGCAAAGGAGTGAAGAAACAGCTGAATAATCTGTGTTACATTTACGCGCTTTATCTCCTTCACAAATATCTCGGTGATTTCCTCTCCACTAACTCCATCACTCCCAAACAAGCCTCTCTTGCTAACGACCAGCTCCGTTCCTTATACTCTCAGGTTCTTCCTCTCTCTATCTCTGCATTTGATTCCTTGTTAAGCTAAGTTTTAACATCTATTTGTTTCTTCTTTTAGGTCCGTCCTAATGCGGTTGCACTTGTGGACGCCTTCAATTACACAGACCATTACTTGAACTCGGTGCTGGGCCGTTATGACGGTAATGTGTACCCAAAGCTCTTTGAGGAAGCGTGGAAGGATCCATTGAACGACTCTGTGGTTCCTGATGGGTACCATGAATACCTTCGACCTGTGCTTAAGCAGCAACTTCGTACCGCTAGGCTCTGAAGAGTTTTCTTACTTGATACTCGATATGGTTAATCACATTTGACTTGCTTCTTCTTCTTCTTCTCGCTTTGAATAAAGTTGCGGTTTAAAAACTGGTGATGCCCTTATTTATATGTAGCAATGTAATAGTTAATGTAAGGTCGTCTTATGGCTGAATGTTAGTACTATTTTTCGTATTCAATGCAACATTAATAAATTGATCGTTTCTTTTTTTTTTTTATGGTAAAAGGCTCCATATATTATTAAGCTGGTTCGAAAAAATTGGCATCGATAGCCAACCACTCCGGAACCTGATAAGATACATGGAAAAAAATAGCATCACGAGATCGAGCACTTTTCGCAAGGGTGTCGGCTCGGATATTTAAGTTTCTAGAAATATGAGAAATCGAAAAACATCTAAAACGATTATGCATGAGATTAAAGGACTCAATTTCTGTTTCAAAGACTGGCCACGGGTCTTCTTCCTCTACGACTTTTATCACATCCGTGCAATCCGTTTCAAAGTAAACTGATTCAAATTCATGATGTATCACATACTCCATAGCCCATAAAAGGGACTCTAGTTCAGAATGAAGCGGGGAGGGCAATCGTGTTTTACCTCTTGATCCAAGAAGCCGTCCTGATGGAGCGTCGAGCACGAAACCAAGACCTGAGGTATTACCATCACTCACCCATGAAGCATCAACTTGACATCGGATCTGTCCAATTGATCGTTTCTACTTTCTACTCTGAGAAGGATACATATTTGTAATCTTCGTATGTATATACTATATAGTTCAATTTTAGGGATGTTTCTGGTTAGGTTAATATGTCATAATGACATTTTTCTCTTGACTGCTTTCGCAAAAATTATATTTGTAATAGGGTTACTTCGGCAAAGTTTTTATTTTAGAAATTCTCATGTAACTCATTGTAGAAAAATCATTTATTCAACTCTTTATCATACGGCTGAATAGTTTAAATAACCATTAACTTATTTGATTTTTTTTTTAATGTAGTTAAGCTGTAATATAAACAGTGGTTTGTAATTAAAAGAAGCCTGTTTTTTTCTATTATTTTCCCATCAAACTTTCACCAAAAATAATTTTCTTCGGCAAAGTAATAAACAATGGTTTGTTGGTTCTTTGATTGCTTTGGGAGTTAACCCACAATTTCAATGTAATGCGTCATAAGAAGAAGAAATGAAACATGCATATGAAGTTTTCAGGATTGTGCTTTGTTTCAATTAGCATCATTTTCCGACATAAGACTTCCAAACCTTTATATTAATTAAGCATTTAATAACCGAATTCGGTAGGTAAATTAATATAGTGCAAACTAATGTTTTGGTTGTAATCAATCCCCTTTATCAACCAACTGTTTTAGAAAACTTAAGGAGTTTCAAAAGTTGTATTAATCTATATATTATGAGATTTTATCTTAAATAAATATTATTGGTCAACATAAACAATTAATATCTGAACAGAAACACTACAAACAATTTACAGTAAAACAATTCTGGATTTCATAACAAAATTCACTCAAGTTGTTTACTACTGAATAATCACCATATATCTATAGTCTTTTCACTTTTATGTAAAACATTTTCTATTTTTTATTTTAACATATACATGTATTAATTATGTAACATTAGGTTGTTTATACTTTCAAATGGGCCCCACGATAAACTAATACGTAACTTGCTCCCTCTAAATGATAATGTATACATTTTCGACATCATACTTTGTACATATACTGATATACACTACATGTGTTTACGTCCTTTTGCGTACATGCAGTACTCTCTCAATATATAATAAGATCTATGCCAAAACTAAAAAAAAATTAAAAGCTCTTTAATTTTCTTTTTTAATATTTTGGACCTTTTTTTTTAAGAAATTTTTTGAAACTAATATTGGATCCTTGACATTTGTCTATCTTGCCTAGGGGTAGAGACGGGCCTGCGTACGTGTGTCGTCCATAGCAACCTTTCGACTCAATTTCTTTACTAAAATGCTTAATCTTTAAGTTCTATAATATTTAAGAAAAAACTTCGGCAATTATTTAGGTACGTATATTCGCAAATGTGCAAAACATAATCCTTCTATTAAGCAAACGTCCAAATACAAAATTTTGACTGACCGTTGTTAAATACTATATATAGTGTCTCGTTTCGGAAAATTATCGTTTTGTTTGTCCTAAAAGATGCTCCGGTCAGTGAATCCGTGCTTCAAACTATAAATATATGTGCAGTCTACCAAATAATCTTTTTTTTTTTTTTGGGCAAACTACTCAATTAAATCAGAATTTAGGTTGCAGTACAAAGGGAAAGAGCCTCTTTGGCCAGCGCATCAGCTTGGCGATTGAGATTGCGAGGTACGAAAAGAAAATTACACACATCGAAAGACATAGATAGAGAAAGGATATCGTGGAGAATCCCATGAAGCTCCTTCACTTGGAGCTTCTGATTGATTGCTTTGACAATGGTTTGAGAGTCAGAAGCGAAAGAGATGGTTTTGATGTCCGATTCAATTGCAGCTCCGACAGCAGTAAGAGTTGCCATTGCTTCGGCAATCAAAGGAGAGCCAATTGTTGACGAGGATGCAGCTCCTTCGAAGGTTATTCGATCCAGTTCATCTTTGCAGATCCATCCCAGTCCAGCCTTGCCATCTTTCCAGGAGGCGTCTGTGAAACAGGTTTTGCCTGAGAGGGATGGCCTATACAGGGTAGAGATCTGATGATTGGCTGTACCAATTGGATTGGTGGGTTGAGCGCTTTGCCACTCCTTTGCCCGAGTCATAGCAATCTGTAAAGCTTCTTCTTCGGAGAAGTCCAGATAGTCCAGATCAGCCATGGGAACAAAGGACCCGCTCCGATTCCTGTGGGAGGCAGACAAACAAGTTTATTCGCCAGGTAAATTCCATCTTGAACAGAGTTTATACCATCAAGGTTCAAAGCATTCTTGAAAGGGGCAAGTGACCAAATCTTCTGTGCAAAAGGACAATGGAAGATAAGATGGAGAACTGATTCCTCAGTCTCACAGTGAGGACACTTTGCAGATTCAGTAATATGTCTACCAAATAATCTTAAGAAATGAAATAAAGGTTGAGTATTTTATGACGACCACACATAATTCATTTGAATATGAATTAATATTAATCTTGTCTTTGTCAAACTTAATCCAAGTGAAAAACGTGGGTTAGCTTTGTAGGCAGACATGGGTCATGGTCAGAAACCCGAAGATATAACATTTTTGGGAAAAAAAACAAAAGATGGAAATTAGAATAAAATTGTAAAAAGTAAAATAAATGCAGATAAGGGCCCACAAGTTACAATTGAATATAATTTTTTTTCCTAAAATCTACTCGTACTGTTCTGTGAAAATGTATGTCTACAAACAGGAAAAACCAAATAGATCTGAAGTTATATCCACATGTAGAAAATGGTGGATCTACTCTAAAATAGATATTTCAAACTTCAATGAAATGATGGCCAAAGCATATGTCAGAACTTTAAAGAAATATCTATTATATTCCAAGGTGAAATATTCTGGTTCAGTAGTCTAGTTATTCTAATTTAAATTAGACCGTTTAAAGTTTTATTAAACCTATATTATATAAAAATTGGTTCAAACCGAAACAGAACAATTAAATTTAAATACAATTTTGGCCTATTTCAAGTACATATATATTTAAATTTGGAAGGCCTTAGACGATTTAAAAGAAACGAGTGACAACAGTACACTAGAATGTTTTTTTTTTGAAAAATCAATACAATAGAATGTTACAAACGAACAAGTGTCCAATTCAGGTCTAAATTAGTGAATACTATACTCCCTCCGTTTCAAAATATAAGACGTTTTGGAGAAACTTTTTTGTTTCACAATATAAGTCGTTTTCAAGTTTCTATGCAAATATATATTACTTTAATATTATGATTATTTCTATTATGCAGTCTCTTTTATGATTGGCTGAACTTTTAAAAAGTAAATCTCCTTAATCGGCGTGCTTTTAGCTAAAACGCCTTATATTTTGAAACGGAGGTAATATTATTTTACACAAATATAAAGTAAAGTAAATATCATTGCAAGTAAAAACAAAAAGAAAAAAAGGACAAAATCTTAATGTAGTCAAGTCTTTTTTTAGCTTTTAATATTTGATTTATACATAAAAGAAAAAACATACACACAAGAATAATTGCATCGTATTTGGATGTATATATTAGAAAGAAGCAAAACCAATCTCTTCTCCTCAAAACTATTCATACTCTCACACTCCAAAATACAAAAGAAAAAACATTTTTATTTTTTATCTTCCCACCAAAAATTCTCTCTCGTTACATTAAATTTCTTTAGATGCAAGACTCTTCTTCTCACGGATCACAACGTAACCTCCGGTCACCGATACCGGAGAGAACCGGAAAGATTTCGAAGACTAACAATGAGCAAAAAGGTGTTTCTAAGCAACCAAATTTTCGTGGGGTCAGAATGAGACAATGGGGAAAATGGGTGTCTGAAATTAGAGAACCAAGAAAGAAATCAAGAATCTGGCTCGGTACTTTCTCTACGCCGGAGATGGCGGCGCGTGCACACGACGTGGCGGCTTTAGCCATCAAGGGCGGCTCTGCTCACCTTAATTTCCCGGAGCTAGCTTACCATTTGCCGAGACCGGCAAGCGCCGACCCTAAAGATATTCAAGAAGCCGCCGCAGCGGCAGCTGCCGTTGACTGGAAAGCACCGGAGTCTCCGTCTAGCACCGTGACGTCATCTCCAGTCGCTGACGACGCTTTTTCCGATCTCCCTGATCTTTTGCTTGACGTGAATGATCACAACAAAAACGATGGATTCTGGGACTCGTTTCCGTACGAAGATCCTTTCTTCTTGGAAAATTATTAGAAGGCAAATTCTTGCCAGCGAATGAATTTTCTGGTGGTTTTCCCGGTAAATAAGAAGACGGTGTCGTTTTGCACCACTTCTTTTTTTTTCTTTTTTTTTTGTCTCTGTTGGGAAATTTCTTTTTGTACGTGTGAGTAAAAAGTTTCCGAATGTGTGATGTGTAAGTAAGTACAGGTTATTTAATTTCTTTTTTTTGTATAAATACGTACGTAATTACCAAAAAGTTTTCATTTTTTTTTTTTTTTGTCATCAGTTTTCATTTATTGTGCTTTTATCTTCCAAATTCATTAAGTTTGTGTCTTGACCCTTTATTTTCACATCTTTGAGTTCTGACAAAGACTTTAACTTTACTCCAATGGAGCCGGCAAAGAATATATACATTTAGAGGTTTCTTCGCTTGAAAAAAAAAAAAAAAACTGAGACAAAAGTACTATTTATTTATATCTTTTTGGTATACCTCATGCAAGAGAAAATATATCATCAGAATCGACATGTAAATGTAAAGATCAGTATTTTCATGGTTAAACATAGTAAGGACTTATCACCTTGTATAGTTATTCGTTATGTAATCGATCTCAAAATAAGGACATTTACTTCTCATTATTTGCAGGTAAGAAAAGTATAGCATGGATTATATATTTTTTATTTCTTGACTGTATGGTCTATTACTTCTTTTATTGTGACATTTATAATGATAGTCGATATAAAGATATTAAATATCTATAAAAGAAATCAGAAACCCAACTATATCCACCCTATAGTATATGCACATGAACATTAATCTCGGCCGCATTTTACCTACCGAGAAGCATAGTTTAGAATGGAATTGTTTTGTATATTCAGAAATCTAGCAGCCAAAGTCACAGTAGGTAGAATACAACGAGAAAATGGCAAATTAGTAGAAGAGACAAACTTGATGGTATTTTCTGTCATTTTCCATTTTCCACTTTTCTTTTCTTCTTTTTTCGTCTCATCTTATTGGCCCTTATAAAGTTGAAAAATTAAAGGACCTATTGGCCCATTTATTAATTAAATGTATGGTGTATTTAATGTATGTTTAGTTAGTACTAGTGTTTTAAAAAGCGGTTTAGACGGTCGTTTAGGCTCCGACTAGGCGCTAGACTCTCATGCGACGCCTAGATAACCGGTTTGATCGCCTAATATTACATAGATCTTGTTTAATATATTTTTTCAATTTCAATTAAACTTTTATTTTAATATATATAGTTATAAATATTCATATATTGTTTATAATTTCATAATTTTTAGTTTTATATGATTTTTATATATAATATTATATTTATAATGTTTTATGTTATAAACGTCTAAACCGTCTAGAAAATCGTCTAGCCCCCGATTAGGCGTTCTAGACGCTAGGCATTGGGTCACCGCCCGCTTAGCGCATAGCGCTTTCTTGAACATTGGTTAGTACTGATTTTCATTCTTCTGTGCAATTAGTGTCCTTACTTTTTTTCAATCTTAGTATTATATTGCTTTTACCAAATTCAATCTAGATAGAGGGTTCTTTTATAATTCTTTGAAATCAGTTCTCTAAAAAATTTATTCTCTCTGTCTTAAACTTTTCTTTTTAGGTTCACATCAAACTTTTCATTATTATTTCTACAAAATTGAATTTTAATTATTAACTTGTACATATATATCTTGTATATTTTAGTATTTATTTATATCTTATATATATATATATAGTATATGTTGCATAACTGTTGAAACTATTGAATGAAGTATGAAACATTTTAGATTCATCTTTTGATGGGATGCATGCTACAATAAAAATAAAAATAAGTATGCTTTTTTTTTTTTTTGGTCAAACCATAATCTTTGTTTCTTTTTATTATCTGCAGGGTAGATTTCTGATCGAAACACAAACTAGGCAATATAAAAAAAATCAAAATTTCTTATTATTTAAGAAGAGCATAATTTTAAAGAAATAAAAATGCATTTTTTGGCTTACTAAAGAAATATATTGAGTGTTGACATAAAAAACTCATATATATTCCTTTGTGTTTGTATTACTTTTTTTTTTTTGTGTTTGTAATACTTGTAAGAACACATTATTGTGTAAGAATTTTTTTTTTTTTGTTAATGGCATAACATATTGTGTAAGATGTACACTGAAGTCTGAATGATGCCAATTTTTGATTCAACCGAATAATTACGAAAAACTAATTAAAGAAACTTTTAAAAGCCGATATGGTTAATGAAACAGAGGAATGTTTGTGTAAAAAACTTTGTTTACGTGCATTTGCACTTGCCATTAAATTTTCCAGATTATCACTGTTCTCATCATGTTTTTAATATTCAGTTTACAAAATAAAATAGAAGGTGAGGTGGATTTTCTCGTATCCTCTTTGTCTGTTTGTAATCATATTCTGAACACAAACTTTTTTCGGCAACGCGACACTAAACAATTAAAAACGTTTCATTCATTGTAGAGAAAGTGGTGAATAGAAACAGGGTATAAAATTACGGTTAGATATAGCTGTGATGATACAATAAACGGTTGAATAATAATAAAATTATTATAAAAATAACATAAGATAAACTAAAAAATATGTATAAAAAATATTTTTCTAACATTTCTTTATTTTAAAAATTTTATGAGTAGAATTACATAAAAATTATTATTATTCTATAAATAAAAAGAAAATTCTAACCGTCGGAAAATTATTAAAACCGTCTTATTTATTGGATGGTTGGTAACCATTTTCTCCAACTGCTTTTTTTTTTTCGCCTCTTCTAACCATATTTATGATTGACAACTTCTGAAGCGGTTCTATTCCAACCATGACGGTTGGAGATTTCCAATCAAACCCACATTTTTAATATACTTTTGTTCGCTGCCTTACATTTGATACAAGAATAATTATAATGTTAAGTAAATTTATCCTGAGAAGATGTATTAGAAAATATTAAAATGAATTATGTTAGTAATATTATCTAAGAGGTTTATAGTGTTAGTGGAATTCTTTCGAGGTTTAAAATGTTATCAGAAATACTTTGAGGGTTAAAAATATGATTTTCCCTTATTTATTTTGTAAACTGTTATATAAATTTTTATTCAAACATTTCATTCAAAGCAAAAGATGACTAAGACACTTTGTGTCGCAAATTCGAACACGCCTACTATGGGTTTTGTACGGACGCTTGATGTAGATCCTGTTGTATATTTAGCAGCAAATATCGAAACACCATCCTTCCTCACAATGTTTGATAAAATAGTATTTTAGATAATTAATTTTGTAAAATCCTTTATGTGGGAGGCCTGTGAACCATGTATTGAGTATTGGCATTAAGCCAAATCAACATTATTGTTAAATAATAGCAACAGTTTTGAATACGATTGAGCTTTGATGCTGCATGCCTGCATTCCATATGTAATATATATATCTATGGATGTCATGTCATTAAAGATTTTCAATTTATTTATTTAATTGATTTGATTAAATACCAAAGTGTCATCATTAATATATTGCGTCTAGAAACTTATCTCATGTTCATGTCGGCTGTGGAGTTTTTTAAGTCTGACCTAAGTGGCTAATTACGAATAAAAAATTAATTAAATATTATTTACTTTTCTCTAATAATAGTTGATGTTTATAAATTCTTTTTAGGACGAATCTTGCAAGAGCTCATATCTATCTTTTGGAGTGGGAAGAATATGTTCGCAGGATGGAGAAAGACTCATTCTTGTGGATGCAAGAAATCTGAAGGGAGCCTTTCATAAACTATAGGCCCTAATCTAGGATATGTCATGTATTGGATCATACAGGATTGTGATTGACTGTCCAACATTTGAGATGGGTACTGCTTAGAACTGCTATCGATGGCACAATGTCCGTACTCCGTCGGATTGTACAACAAGTTCCAATATTTTTGATACTTTTTTCTTGGTTAAAAAATCGGTTTATATATTCTTTTTCGTACATTAAATTCTCAAACGGACCGTTTAATTCGTAATGCCAAAGACATGATTGTTTTTAAGCCTTATGTAAACTATTTTATACCAATTTAGACAGCTAAACCAAATAGTTTATTTATGTTGTGCTGTTGAAAACAAAACTTATTTAAAATAATATTTATTTCTTTTGTAAAGATTAGATATTTTTTTTTTTTTTTGACAAAATACTTCATATTAATTAGATTAGGAATTCGTACAAAAGAGGAGGAGAGCCTCCTTAGCTAAAGCATCAGCCTGGCGATTCAAGTTTCTAGAAATGAAATTGAAAGAGCAACAATTGAAATTAGAGGATAGATTCAGGATGTCGTGGAGAATCCTGTGAAGTTCCTTTGAGTGGAGCTTCAAATTAAGAGCTTTGACTAGATTAGACGAGTCTGAAGCGAAAGAGATGGATTTGAGATCCGATTCGAGTGCACCTTCAACCGCAGTGAGAGTTGCCATTGCTTCGGCCATCAAGGGAGATCCAACATGGGATGCCGCAGAGGAGCCTTCAAGGAGTGTGAGTCCAGAAGAGTCTTTTGCGATCCATCCAAAGCCGGCGGTACCATCGGGTTTCCAAGCGGCGTCAGTGAAGCAGAAGGAGCTTGGAGAGACATTGGGTTGCAGGTTTGGGGGACAGATAGGTGTGATAGAAGGGGAAAGGAGCTGAGCCTGTTGCCATTCTTTTGCCCTCATGAGGGAAAGACACATCACATCAGAAGCTTGGATTTGCTTGTTACTGAACATCAGATTATATCTCGAGGTCCAGAGAGACCAAAGGATCCAAGGGGACAGGGGACCGCCATTAAGTCCTGTGGGAGGGAGGCACATGAGGTTGTTGGATAGTTTGATGCCCTCTTTAATGGAGAGGATGCTTTCTGGTTGGAGCATTGATTTTACAGGAGCCAGCTTCCAAACCTGCAGTGCAAAAGGACAGTGGAAAAATAAATGCAGAGAGGATTCAGACGCTCCACAATGGGGACATTTAACCTCTCCATTGACATGTCTGGTAAGGAGATTTTCACCCACAGGGAGGGCATTTTGGGCGATTTTCCAGAGGAGCAGTTTGGTTTTAGGAGAGGCTTTTTGAGACCAAATGTTGGCTCTCCAATTGAAAGTATCATCATTCAACGGAGTTGTCGGATCATCCACTTTCTCAGCAGAGTAGAGGGCTTCAAAATACCCAGATTTAACAGAATAGACGCCATCTGGATTTGCTAGCCAAGCCCAAGAGTCAGGTGCTCCTTTTTTACTCGGTTTCAAGGTAAGTATATCTTTTTCATATAATGGGAGGTGAAGTCTGATAAGCTCTTGATTCCATTCTCCAGTGTTGGGAAGAAGCAGATCCGAGACTCTCAGATTTTGAGCTGCTTCAGTTGGAGGTCCCATTGGAGATAAAGGAGAATTCAAGGAGAGCCACGGGCTTCTATAGACTGGTAATGTTTCGCATGTACCTACCATCAGTCCAAGTTGAGGTTTTAGGAGGTCACGACCCATACAAACACTCCTCCAGCCGTGGGATGCAGAATTTGAGACTTTGCAATTCAAAAAGTCAGAGGATTTGCAGTATTTGCCCCGGAGAACTCTTGAGAGGAGACAATCAGGAGATTTGAGGATACGCCAACTAATTTTTGCCAATAGCGCCTTATTAAATGTTTGTACATCTCTAAATCCCAGACCTCCATTTTTAAAGGATTTTGTCATTTTTCTCCAGGAGATCCAACACATCTTCTTTTTGCCATTACTTGAATCCCACCAGAATCTGGTTAGAGCAGATTGAATACGCTTGCAGAGGGAGTTGGGAATATGGAAGCAAGACATAGTATAAGTAGGCATAGCAGCCAAGACAGATTTGAGCATAGTGAGTTTACCCGCAGAGGAGAGAAACCGAGAAGATCAGCTCATGGCTCGCTGCTTAATCCGATCCACTATCTGACTGAAAAGATCCTTCTTTTTCCTACCAAACAGCTCAGGTAAACCCAAATATTTGCCTTGTCCTCCTTCTTTATTAATGTGAAGTTCTCTTTTTGCTCTGTCTTTAGTTTCCAGAAGGGTTTTCTTTGAGAACGTAATAGACAATTTGTCTTGATTTAATTTCTGACCAGAGGCCTGTTCATATTTTTGAAGGATAGATTGTAGTTTCCTGCAGCTTTGGAGATCAGAACGACAAAAGAACATGGTATTGTCGGCAAAGAGGAGGTGATTAACACGGGGGCTTCCTTTAGCAACTCTTAAACCGGGTAAGCTACCATTAGCCTGAGCTTTGTTACATAGACAAGAGAGTACCTCACTACAGATAATGAAAAGATAAGGTGATAGTGGATCGCCTTGTCTTATGCCACGTTGGGGAAACACTGAACCCTTAGCTTGGCCATTAAGGAGAAAAGAATAGGACACAGTAGTTACACATTGCATTAGCCATTGTATCCAAGTCTGATGAAAACCCATTTTGTTCAAGGCTGCTCTTATAAACTCCCACTCTAGCCTGTCGTAGGCTTTGCTCATGTCTGTTTTGACAACCATGAAGCATTTCTTCTGGGCTCCGGAGGTTTTAAGATAGTGTAGGGCTTCATGAGTGATAAGAACATTATCAGAAATAGCTCTTTGGGGAACAAAAGCCGATTGGTTTTCAGAGATACAAGAGTGGAGAACTGGTTGCAGTCTTTTGGCTAGTAGTTTGGATATGATCTTATAATAGACTAAGCAAAGGGCAATAGGTCTATAATCAGATACTCTTTGTGGACTTTGGATCTTAGGGATTAATCTCACATGGGTATGGTTGATTTTCTGTGGCAGGATACCCGAGATAAAGAAGGATTGGATCTCAGAGATGATCATATCTCCAATTGTATCCCAGTTAGATTGAAAAAAGCTAGCAGAAAAACCATCGGGTCCTGGAGCTTTATCTGCATGGATAGAGAAACAAGCTAGCTTGATTTATGTGGGTGTTGGCATTAAGATAAGCTTATCATTCATCTCTTTAGTGACACATAGGGAGAGGGCTTCATTGACCACAGTGGTTCTGTCTCCTTCCTCAGGGGTAAAAATTTGAGTAAAATAATCCGAGATGACCTTCACTATGTCACTTTCTTCATAGACAGGTACACCACTTGCAGACTCTAAGACAGAGATGGTATTAATGGCTCTTCTTCCTTTTGTTGCCGCGTGAAAATACCCAGAATTCTTGTCTCCTAAAGCCCCATAGTTGTCTACTACGTTGCTTCCAAAATTCTTCTTCGTTTTTGTAAGCCACCAACAGCTTCTGGTTTACTAGATCAATAGACGCTTGTTCTGTTTCATTGATACACATCAGTTCCTCAAGCTGAGTTCTGAGAGAGCAAATCTCTTGTTGACTGTTTGAATGTTGTTCTTTTGACCAGGTGATGATGGCAGTTCTGCAAAGATGGATTCTCTGGTCAACCATAGCAGAGGGGTCAGAGTTCCAAGCCGCCATAACCAAATTCTTGACTTCCACATTCTCTTTTAGGCGTCTATCATATCTAAATAGGCCACAGTTTTTCTTTTTAATAGGATCAAAAGATGTGACTAGAGGGCGATGATCGGAGCCTTCAATCCTGAGGTACTCACTGCGGCCAGATGGGTAATCAATTATCCAGTCACTATTAGCCATAGACCTATCCAGTCTACACCGCACCATGTGAGTATGTCTCTTTCCTCTCCAAGAAAGAAAATTTCCAGAGTGTTTTAAATCGTATAGGTCACAAGTAGACATAAGAGATCTTAAATCAGAGAAGGATCCTTCAGGTCTTGGAGGGCCACCAACCTTTTCAGAACTGCAAATGATATCATTGAAATCACCAGTTAACATCCAGGGACCAGTTCTTGATGCAGCTATAATAAGCAATTTATCCCAGACTTGGACTCTTTTAGAGCGATCAGGCTCCCCATAAAGGAAGGTAGAGAAGAACGACTTTCCTTTTGCCTTAATGATTGTATCAATATAGTTTGGACAAGAATCAATAATCTCTACTTCAATACTTTGCTTCCAGAAAAGGGCAAGACGAGCCAGGGGATAAAGGAGCCACTAAATGGTGAGAAGGGTAATCAAGCCAGTTTAGGGTTTTGAGAACATTTTCAGAGGAAATTTTGGTCTCCATGAGGAAAAGTAAGTCAGGGAAAATCTTCTTTCGGATTTCCCTCAATCTCTGGACTGTCATGGGATTCCCCAACCCACAGCAGTTCCAGCTCACTATCCTTAAGGAAGAGGGGTTTGCGGATTCTGAAAATCCGCTACATGTTTCTTAACTGCAGGAACCAGAGAGATCTTGGGGGCAGTAGGTTTTGCAGTTTTTGAGGACCCAGATTTTGAAGTATTATTAGGCTCCTGGGATTTGGAAAAAGCCAGAGGGGTTTTAGCTTTACTGGAACCCACCTGAGAAGAACCCTGTCTTGGAGGCTGCTTTTGACCAGTATTTTTCTTTGATGAGCCCTGAATTAAATTTCTTTTCTGACTCTTGACTCCAGTGAGTTTGATGGGCGGCTTACAAGTTGATTTTGCTAAAGGAGGTCTACCTCGACCTCTCTTCACTCCTTTCCCTTTCTTTAGAGCAGGTGGAAGAGAGTCTTCACTGTGGGAGAGTCTAGAAAAAACATTAAGCTCTGGATTAGACAATAAATGGTGAGAGGATTCTGGAGCTGAAGCTACAGCAGCTTCAATAATCTGATCAGCAGTAGTACTCATCAAATTATTAGCCTCTCCTTGAACTACCCTCTGTTTTCTTGCTGCACTCTCTGCAGGATCAGCACATGATACATATTGAACAGTGACTTCACGCAATTCCCCCATAACATGTTCCTTTGTGGGAATAGTCCGGGTTGGAGAGGCGGCTCCAGTGGGATTCAGTAGCCATCTACTGGTCAGGTCCAAAGGTGGTGGAGGAGTTTGGGGATCAGGGGAAGATTGATTCCTTTCCAAGGGAGGGCGTCTTGACCTTGAAGAAACAGAATTTTCCTGGCAAAGTTGAGCCAGAGGTGGGGCTTTCTCCTTCCATTGCAACGGCTGGGGAGGGTATCTATGTCTGTCCCTGTGGATTCTGGAAGAAATCTGATCACGGGAGCTTGTCCTGCTATGGTGGTCAGTAGACTTGGTTGGAGAGTTCCTTGGATTATGGTAAGAGCGATTAGGGGCTTTTGCAGTCTGTTGTGGAAAAGACCTAACTCTCTCTTGGTCATACTTCCTTTTAGGGACATAAGTCACTTCCTGAGAGTATACAGGGCTTCTTGGTGTATACGGATGGTGCTTTGGAGCTATAAAGTTATCCATTGGGGTGTAGTAGTTCCTAGATCCTTCTCTGGATCCCTGAGGAAAGCCTGAAGAAACTATTGGTTTAGATTTTTCTGTTTCCAGGAGAAGACCCGGACAACTTTTCTTATCGTGGGTGAGTCTGCAGCAATGGAGGCAGTGGTTTTTTAGGTTTTTGTAGTCCAGAGTCACAACAGCTTCACTGCCATCAGGGAAGTCAACCACTGTTTCTTTTGTTATGGGTAGCAGGCCATCTATGAGGAGTCTGATTTTGGCTGAAGTGGGAGTAATCTCATGATCCAGGATTTCTCCTAGCTCTTCACCAATTGTCTCCAGCATTGCAGGTTGCCAGAAATGCTTTGGGAGACCTTGGAGCTCAACCCAAAAAGGAATCATAGAGGGAAAGGAGTCAGATATGACTGGTTCCCATTTTTGGAGAATAACCATCCAATGGTCAAAATGGTAAGGTCGATTGTCAAGAACTTTTTGCATATCCTCCTCAAACTCAAAGATAAATTGGAAACAACCTCTTCCTAGATCTGAACCTGCTGCTTTACCTCTTAAGTTCCATCTGTTAGAGAGGAAAGGGAATAAAGACCATAAACGCTGTTCCAGAGGGTTGGTGAGCCTTCCCATAAGGGTTAAGGAATTAGCTGCAATCTGCTCAGTGGTGTCAATATCCAGGGCACGGATTCTCTTTTGGGGAGGAGGAGAGTAGCCACGAGCAAGGCCTTTGCCTTTGAGATGGTGAGGGATCCTTTTTTCCATGGTTTAAGGAAAAACTTGGGGTAGAGGGGAGAGATTAAGGGTTTACAGGTTAAAGATTCACAACTGGGATGATACTTTCAGAGAGGGTTAAAAAGGTTCCACAAGATAGTTCAAGAGGGTTAAAGAAGTATACCGTAGAGGTTGAGAAATAGCGCTTTGTAATGCCAGGAGACTGTTTCAGAGGAGAGGAGCAGGTTCCAGCGGAGAAGATACGTCGGAAACAGCCATTAAAACCGTCGGAACTTTCCAAAAATGGGTAAGGACCGTTGGATATTTCTTCTTTTAGGAAGAGAATGTAGGTGAGATCCGGTTTTTTAAAAGCTCCATTCTGTTTTTAGAGGACATCGGGGGTCGTGCCTGGGATTAGACTTAACATCGATTTGTCCGAAAAAAAAAGACTTAACATCGAATGAATTATGTTTCACCACATGTGTAGTAGCATATCCTTGTTTAGTCACGGAAAAGATATAAGTGTTATACGTCCATTATAAAATCCGAATTGCTCTTTTTATTAGAGACAAAATTGTCTAAGAGTATAAACTCACTATTTTACTATTTCCATGATTGATTTCATTGTGATATACTAAAACGTTTTTACTAAATCGTCTGCCCAATTTCGAGATTAGTCAAACGTGTTGGGAGAACCCTGAATATCTACTACTCAATCTAAACAAATATTAACACATTTTTTTTATTAACCAAAAAATTATTAGTCGTTTTACTTATTTAACTGAAACATGATCATGATGTGATGATATTGACAGTGATCACGAGACTATGGGTCTGATTGGTAACAAGCTGTTAGCTAGAGCTGTTAGCTGTTAGGGAATAGTGCAAAGCTGTACAAAAGAATAAAACACGAAAGCTGTACAAAAAAATAACGCATAACAAATTTTAAAAATTTATTCTGATTAGAAACATCATAGCGGTACACATAATAAATAATATTAAGAATTTAGAAAGAAAGAAAAAATTATATAGAAATATACTTTAGTATATAATTACATATGAAAATTAAGATTATATAGAATGAACAATATTTTATTGTTAGAATAATAATATGAATTTACTAGTCCTATAATAAATAAAATTTTCTTTATTTTGAGCAATATAACATTCCAAAATAATTGTTTGAGAAAAAAACCATTATTTCTAATGAGATTTTTTCATAGGCTGTATTATTTACTTTTTTGGAAATCTTTATCTGAACATTCGAGACTTTTTTTTTTGCATTATACATAGTCACAATTATATTTTATAAAGTTTAATTATGCGGTTAATAATACGGTTAACCGTGCGGCTAATCGTACTGTTAAATAACGGTTTTGATACGTTTCCGGTATATTAACGGTTACGGTTAGTATATTTTTTTAACCGTAACTAATTTAGTTTTACGGTGAATGGTTATGGTTTTTAACCGTTTTATACAATTACGGTTGAAAAACGGTCCAGTTACGATCTAAAATACGGTTATGGTTAGCTTTTGGTCATGCTTACTAGGCATGACCAAAAGCTAACCGTAACCATATGTTGTACCGTAACCGGACCGTTTCTCAACCGTAACCGTATAAAACGGTTAAAAACCATAACCGTAAAAAATAATTAGTTACAGTTAAAAAATATATTAACCGTAACCGTTAATTAACGGTAAACATATGAAAACCGTTATTTAACCATATGGTTAACCGCATAGTTAAAACTTTAAAAATATAATTGTAACTCCATATAATGCAAAAAAAATTATCGAATATTCAGATTAAGATTTTCAAAAAAGTAAATGATACCGCATATGAAAAAATCTACGTTATAAAAAATAGTTTTTTTCTTAAACAAATATGTTATACTGTTATTTTGCTCGAAATGAAGAAAATTTGGTTTGTAACATATTTTTTGATTTTATGAAAAGTATTATAATAAGTTAGGTAACTCGTAAGATTTCGCCTCCGATATCAACCGTATTGTAGTCATCAAATAACTATAACCATAATTATCCGTAACCGTTGTAACCGTAACCGTAACCGTATTTAACCGTAACCGTTATAACCGTAACCGTTATAACCGTATTTAATCGTAACCGTATTTAAACGTAACCGTTATAACCGTATTTAATCATAACCGTATTTAACCGTAACCGTTTTAATTTATTTTTGTTTTTGTCCAAAAAAACAGTTTTTTTTTTATAGTGTACCGCTTTTCATAAAGTTTTTATGATTGGTAACTGTCAAAGCTGTACAAAGCTGTACAACTTTAAAATTAGTTACCAATCATAGCCTATATCGAGATAGAGAATCCTAGGCCTCAAGCTTGGAAGACCACTTTTATTCTCCTTAATTCTTCGTGTTTTTCTCAATAAAATATTATTTAAAAGAGCTTTTCACTCCCTATTTAAATATTGTGAATCATTCACCTAATCAGTCTGCAGTCAATTGTGCCAAAATCAATATTAACCAAAGAATATAATCTAGTCATCTATTTTTTTGTACAAATCATCTAGTGACGAGAAAAAGTACTAGACTAATCCAAAACTTACAATGATTACGTTTGGACTTAGAGGATCCATTTTCTGTCTTCATAAATTGTTGATGTATCTGGTAAAATGTTCTTTTATATTCAAACTTTTAAGATAGTCAACATTTTTTTGAGATCAATGTGTACCACATTTCTACCTTACATTTAGAAATCATTAGCATATATATATAAATTTCATAATCAATTGATATGCATCAAGGAAATATTATCTTTGTATTATAATGGCGCTGCCTAGTTAATCAAATAGAGAAAAAAAGAATGGAGGACATGAGAAAAAAAAAAAAAAAAAAGAAAGAAGAAAATATTTAAGAATTTATTTCTCCGGAGGTTTGTAGAGGGAAGAATTCTACTTTTTTACTTTACTGTTTGCCATATTTGCTTAAGAAATAATTCTTCCAATAATATATACATATATATAATATATATATATATATATAATATATATATATATATATAT